ATACGATAACAATACCAACTACGTACGATAGCTAATGTCATCGGTGCACTTGATAGATAAACAAGAACTAGTACCCACAGCCACAAAAATGCCTTCTGGCGACAATCTCCCACCTCTGATATGCCTTACAGGTTGAATGAGTCCTTATAAACGCTAATCCATTCAACTTTCATGTCTATTTTTATCAATTTTCCTTCAATTGAGTCGTTTATTCTCAATCTTTTTTTTTGGCTGCTACTTCGTCTTCGTCAATTCGGGTTTGGTTGGTGAGATGAGGTGGATTTGTTTTTGCCTGGGAAGGGGGTAGACCCTCAAGCACGCCCCCAGAGACCTCCAAATGCCATCACAGACCTCCAAACACCTCCACAAACCTCCAAGCACCTCCAGACACTTCCAAACACCTCCACAAACCTCCAAGCACCTCCAGACACTTCCATACACCTCCACAAACCTCCAAATACCCTTAACAGACCTCCAAACATATCCATAGATCTCCAAATACCTTCCCACAGACTACCAAATACGTCCACAGACCTCCAGATACCTTTACAGGCCTCTAAGCACCTCCACAGACCTCCAAACCCACTCTAAAAAACCCCCAAACACACCCATAAACATTCAAACACCTCTACAACCCTCCAAACACACCCATACGCCTCCAAACACCACCCTCAAACCTTCAACACCTCCCCACACCTCCAAACACCTCCCCCACACCTCCAAACCACCTCCACCACACCTCCAAACCACCCCCACCACACCAACACGAACGTCCATCACGCCTCTCTTTCTTTGGCATTTCTAAGGAACAATAATAACCAAGCCAGGGCGACGGTGGCTCCCCCCCCTACCTGTCAAGCGAGCTCCTCAGTAGGTAACGGGACGCTCAATTGACTAGTGATTGTTTCGTTATGAATCTCTATCAGCGTCGGGGTGAAGGCTGGCAGTTCAAGGGGCCGAGTTCCTAGGATGAATTAATGACCCCTGCTGTGAGGAAGAATCAGGTGGTGGTAGTGGTGGTAGGTAATGGTGGGTGGTGGTGGTGGTAGGTGGTGGTAGTTGGTAGGTGGTGGTGGTGTTGAGTCTATTTCTTTATCAATGGTGTTTGTCTATTTTTCTATTTTCTATTCTCAACTTAAATCCCTCTCCTGTCTATCTGTATCTGTCTCTCTCTCTCTGTCTGTCTGCTCTGTCTGTCTGTCTCTCTTCCTCTCCTGCTCATCTTTCTCTCCCTCTCTCTCTCCCTCTCCTCCTACCCATCATGGAGGTACAGAAGGTCACGCTGTACCTATCATCTCCTCCTTTTGTTTATGGTCACGACTTATGCCGATGCTTCCCTTGACACGACTGGGTGGTGTCATAGGTCCTCAAGACACTCGGGAGTGTCATAAGCCCTAAGTGTGGTTAAGGAGTGTCATAAGGCCGTGGTTGGGAGTGTCATGACTCTGGTGTGGTTAGGGCGTGTCATAAGGCCTCAAGGCAGGAGTGTCATGCCCTAAGTGTGGTTAAGTGTCATAAGGCCGTGGTTGGGAGTGTCAGGGCAGTGGTTGGGGAGTGTCAAAGGCCGTGGTTGGGAGTGTCATAAGCCCTTGGTGTGGTTGGTGTGGAGGTAGAGGCAGAACAGAGAAAGAATGAAGAGAGGAAGGAAATGGGCAAGGAAAGGATGGGGAGGGAAGGAAGAGAGAGTGTAGCAGTGAGGAGGGAGGAGAGAGAGAAGGGGAGGGGGAGAGAGGGAGAGAGGAGGGGTAGAGGAGGGTGAGGGTGAGGGACTAAGTGACACCTGAATGGGATTGAGAGAACGTGCTACACGACTCTCCCTGCAGACCTGACACACTACCACTACCACCACTACCACCACTACTGCTACCACTACTGCTACCACCACTATTAACACTACTGCTACCACCACTATCACCACTACTGCTACCACTACTGCTACCACCAATATTAACACTACTGCTACCACCACTATCACCACTCTTGCTACCACTACTGCTACCACCACTATTAACACTACTGCTACCACCACTACCACCACTACTGCTACCACCACTACCACCATTACTCACTACCACCATTACTGCTACCATCACTAACATCACCACTACCACCACTTCTACTATGGCGGGTGTATGATATGTATGTGTGTTCATTTATGAGTATAGAGGACAGTGTGTGTGTGTGTGTGTGTGTGTGTGTGTGTGTGCAGGTGATCGCTAGAGACGTCACCGAGGCATGCCATACATAGGAGGGGTTGGTGGCAGGAAGGTCAGACGATCGATGATACGTCCATACTGTCACGACCACGCCAGGCTGACCTTCACCTTCCCCCGAACACCCTTCCTGCAACACCCCTCCTGCAACACTCCCCTGCAACACCCCTCCTGCAACACTCCCCTGCAACACTCCCCTGCAACGCCCCTCCTGCAACACTCCCCAGGAACACTCCCCCGACAAGAAACCCCTGACAACAACACTATTCCCCCTGACAACATTGCTCCGTCCAGCAGCTCCCCCATAGAGACTCCTGTAGAAGACATCAACACTCACCTCATCTCCTGGGCCAGCTTCACGGGGCGTGTCCTGGGCTGCCTCACGGTGCCTGGGTGCGTCTCGCCCGCTACTGGGTCCTCCTCACATTCCGGGGGCCGCGAGTCAATGGCCCGGCTCATTAACTCAACGTCTGAGTTGCGGCCGCTGGTGCCGCAGGGTACACGAGTGTTGGTGCCGCAAGTGACATGGGTGTTAGTACCGCAGGAGACATGAGAAGGTCCCGCGTGCGGCTGCTGCTGCTGCCTGCTGTTGAGTTTCAGGTGTTGATGCTGCACGTCACTGATAGACCAGCGGCGTCGTGTCCGTCCTGCTGTCGGCCGACGGTGCTGTTCTGCCTGGACGTCTACAAGAAGCTTCTCTGCGCTGCTGCTGCGTCTCTGTGGCCGCCGCTGACCCATCATGGCCGTCATGCTGCTGACCCGTTTCTTAACGGCACCTGTTCGTTTGGTGGAGGCGTCCAACACACTCTTGTGCTCCAGCTCCTCCGCCAGCTCCTCTAAACTACCTGATCTGTCATGCCTCTGGCTCTTGTACGGTCCCGCGTCAGGCAGAGCGGTATCAACGGTATCAGGGGAGGTGGACGACACGTTGGTCGTGGTGACGTTTACGGTCTGGATACAGACTATCTTGTCGTTGTAGAGGCACGGGTTCTCGCCGAAGTAGACGCGGGTGATGTGCTTTACGTTGGGCGGCGTTGTAGGCAGGGAGTCACCGTCGTTATGGGCGTTGGTGGACTCCCCGGAGTCTGAGTACCCGGAGTCCTGCGAGCGGTGTGACGGAGATCCCCGCAAGGACCCGCGGAAGGAACCCCCAGGTGACGCCTCGCCCTCAAGAGCCTCCTCTCCAGAACTAAAGGTTTCTTCCCCAGCTTCAAGGATCACAGGCTCCCTAGTGGCTCTGTGGCGGTTCCAGAAGTCCCGCGGGAGGTTGTTGGCGGGCCAGCAGCCGCTCTCTGACGCGTAGTACACCCGCGACCCTCCCCGCCGGAAGTGGTGCTGCCCTGATGCCTCCTGCTCGCTCTGGGCCATCCTGAGGTGGTCCTCCAAGTACTGCTGACGCTCGATGATCTGTGGAGGAGATTAAAGACACCTAGTTAGTCACTGAACAGACCTTGGAACACACACACACACACACACACCCACACACACACACACACACACAGGAATCATCAACCCCGGAACCATAATCCTAACCTATCTAAACGTAAACATAAGAGACCGTCACATAACGTAACCTAACATACAAAAGCCTCGTCTGTAATATGAAATCCGGATTCATCGTCAGCCCACACCAGCGGCAACATCCTGGTCAGCCTACCTCCCTCACTCCCGCCAGATGCCTCACTGTTAGTAAATATTAACCTGTTCTTGGGAATCGCGCCATTAAAGGGGGGTATCATGAGGCCTTGTAACTGGTGGTCTAGTGGAGTCTGAATTCATTCATTACGTGGACTAAATGACTGATGAATCCTGCCCTGGTCTCCTTTATCTTCACTACATTAGCTTTATACAGACGTTAGAGAGGATGGTCAAGAGGAAGGTGACGTAGTGGTGACGTAGTGGTGACGTAGTGGTGACGTAGTGGTGATGTAGTGGTGATGATGTAGTGAATTGGTGAGGTTTTTCTCTTCCGCCTCTTCTTCCTTCCCATCCTCTTGTTTTTCTTCTTAATCCTCCTTCTCCTCCTTTCCTTCCATCTTTTGTATTGTCCCTCTCTGACTTCTCCTCCTGCTCCATCATTTTCCTTCTCCCCCTCCTTCATCCTTCCCTTCCTCTTTCTCCTCCCTTTCCTTCCCCTCCTCCTTTTCCTCTTGTTAATCCTCCTTCCCCTCCTTCCCCTCTATCTGTCGCATTCTCCCCCTCTTCCTTCTCTTTCTACTCCATCATTCTCCGTTCCTCCTCCTCCATCCCCCACCCCCGTCCCTCATAAGAGAATGTAAACTCGTCCCTCTCAGCTTAGCCATTCGTCCCTCAAGTGGATTATACTCTTAATGGAAGAGTCCCCCCTTCGCCTTCAATACACACTTATAGAAAACGAGCAAAAAAACATGTATATGAATTACGATTTTTAATATGTTTTAGGTAAATTTTGATTCATATCGAGGTTAAAAACACGATATTTCTACCTTTTATAATAGACCTTACGTGTATTTACTTAACTTATATATACTTTATATGTGATCTTGTAAGCTATTGTGACTATAGGTTTTAAATTAATCGTCCTGCAGGTGTTTAAATCGTTAGAGGTGACTTATACGTAAGAGATAGACAGATACAGCGAGCAGGACCAATAGAGAGAGAGAGAGAGAGAGAGAGAGAGAGAGAGAGAGAGAGTAATCCTATCTCCATTATCACCATCATATCTGACGCCCAGACAGTCGAATCCCCGTACTCGCTTAAATCACGACCTGGATGAACACAGCGACCCGACACATGACTCCGCACCATCGGGGACCCCCCCTGAACCCCGGACCCCCCAATAACTCTCCTTGGATCCTGACGGCTGAGGCTTCTCCAGCATTGTGTGGAGGCTAAGGAGTTTACCGACTTGGATTCCCCGACTTGTAGGTAAAACTTGAGGATTCCCGACAACAGGAGGTAAGATTTGAGGCTTTCCCGACAACAGGAGGTAAGACTTGAGGCTTTCCCGACAACAGGAGGTAAAATATAAAACACTCGACTAATACCCCCAACTAAACTTCCACCTCACCTCCCCGACCAAATTACCCCCGTCACCTCCCACCTCCCCCTGACTAAAACCACCTCACCTCACCTCCCCGAACTACTCACTTCACCTCCCCGACCAACCGACCACAGGAGGTGATAAAGTCAAGACCAATATTTACACTGAGAGACACAGGGACCAAGATATCCACAACCAGGTTAATTAACAAGACAATGGCAGGTGAGGCACAACACCTGCACGTCAGCGGTCCAAAAAAATCTTGATAACTCTCTCACTGGCTGACAAAAGGCTGACAATGCTGACGGTGAAGACTCAAATTTCTCTCTTAAATATTTTCAAAGTTGTGAGGGTAATAATTATCTGTTTGATCTAGAATTATATCCAAAATGGCGGAAAATTTACAATGAGACTCTACCTTAATTTGATACGTTCACTTAGCACCAGTTATGAGAAAAGTTAAGGTGTGTGTGTGTGTGTGTGTGTGTGTGTGTGTGTGTGTGTGTGTGTGTGTGTGTGTGTGCGTGTGATGATCCTCGCCTGTATTAGTAAGAGATAATAAGGGGTGGGGGAGATGGGGATTGGGGAGGGGAGAGGAGGGAGAAAGAGGAGGAGAGGGGGGTAGTGGGCGCGTTCTTTATTCAGCATGAGAGAGAGAGAGAGAGAGAGAGAGAGAGAGAGAGAGAGAGAGGAGGCCGTAAAGGATACACGATAGCAGACTTTAGGACTCCTGAGATCTCACTGGAGGTCCTGTCGTATGTAGGATGCTTCGACTATCAACGCTACTAACCTCCTGTAGTCTTTACTCCAGCCACGAACGTTTATGACCTCCTGTAGTCTTTACCTCCAGCCACGAACGTTTATAACCTCCTGTAGTCTTTACTCCAGCCACGAACGTTTATAACCTCCTGTAGTCTTTACCTCCAGCCACGAACGTTTATAACCTCCTGTAGTCTTTACCTCCAGCCACGAACGTTTATGACCTCCTGTAGTCTTTACCTCCAGCCACGAACGTTTATAACCTCCTGTAGTCTTTACCTCCAGCCACGAACATTTATAACCTCCGTAGCCTTACCTCCAGCCACGAACGTTTATAGACCTCCCGTAGTCTTTACTCCAGCCACGAACGTTTATAACCTCCTGTAGTCCTTACCTCCAGCCAACGTTTATGACCTCCTGTAGTCTTTACTCAGCCACGAACGTTTATGACCTCCTGTAGTCTTTATCTCCAGCCACGAACGTTTATGACCTCCTGTAGTCTTTACCTCCAGCCACGAACGTTTATGACCTCCTGTAGTCTTTACCTCCAGCCACGAACGTTTATAACCTCCTGTAGTCTTTACCTGCAGCCACGAACGTTTATGACCTCCTGTAGTCTTTACTCCAGCCACGAACGTTTATGACCTCCGTAGTCTTTACCTCCAGCCACGAACGTTTATAACCTCCTGTAGTCTTTTACTCCAGCCACGAACGTTTATGACCTCCTGTAGTCTTTACCTCCAGCCACGAACGTTTATAACCTCCTGTAGTCTTTACCTCCAGCCACGAACGTTTACTCCGTAGTCTTTACCTCCAGCCACGAACGTTTATAAACTCGTAGTCTTTACCTCCAGCCACGAACATTTATAACCTCCTGTAGTCTTTACCTCCAGCTACGAACATTTATAACCTCCTGTAGTCTTTACCTCCAGCCACGAACGTTTATAACCTCCCGTAGTCTTTACCCAGCCACGAACGTTTATGACCTCCTGTAGTCTTTACCTCCAGCCACGAACGTTTATAACCTCCTTACCTCCAGCCACGAACGTTTATAACCTCCCGTAGTCTTTACCTCCAGCCACGAACATTTATAACCTCCTGTAGTCTTTACCTCCAGCCACGAACATTTATAACCTCCTGTAGTCTTTACCTCCAGCCACGAACGTTTATGACCTCCTGTAGTCTTTACCTCCAGCTACGAAAATTTATAACCTCCCGTAGCCTTTACCTCCAGCCACGAACATTTATAACCTCCTGTAGTCTTTACCTCCAGCCACGAACATTTATGACCTCCCGTAGTCTTTACCTCCAGCCACGAACGTTTATAACCTCGTGTCTTTACCTCCAGCCACGAACATTTATAACCCCCAGTTCTTTACCTCCAGCTACGAACATTTATAACCTCCTGTAGTCTTTACCTCCAGCCACGAACGTTTATAACCTCCCGTAGTCTTTACCTCCAGCCACGAACGTTTATGACCTCCTGTAGTCTTTACTCCAGCCACG